CTCAGATTCTCCAGCATCGGCAGTTCCTACTATCTCTGGGTTACCAGTCGAGTGACATTGCTGTGGAGCCACCATCTCCCCATGACAGCATGTGTGCTCCCTCTTTTATAGCAAAGCACTTGCCTGGCATTGCATCTTGCTGGAGGAGCCTGTGAACCTGATGCAGCCTCAAGTTTAATTTTGTTGCCTCTCAACGCAGGGATCCCAGAAGCTAATTGCTGACCTGCTCCCCCCACCCCGGGTTAGGACAGCGTCCCACATTGGTATGCTCCCTAACACCACCTTCTACTCCACAAGTATGTTTTAAATCAGGTTACCCCAGTCACAGGTAACTGCTTATTGCGATTGGATTTTAGAGCTACCCAACTCATGGGCAGAATGGACCTATTGCCATTTAATGCGATATGTTGCTCTGTGTTATTAATTCCCAGTTTTGGTTTGTCTGGATGACTCATACCATACTCATATGGACCTCCTCAAGCACTCAGTTGGCAGAAACCCCACACTTGATGCTTCTTGTGTGTGTACCTTGTGTTTAAGAGAGTCCACCTTGAAAGACTCTGTGTGCTTTATGTATACACTGTTGTGAATCTGCCTGACAGTCAGTCTGTTATGGGTATGCAAGCTGCACACAGGAAATCAGCTAGTTTTGCTGTAATATCTGCTTCATGACTTACAAGGTGTTTTACTGTTTTAAATAAACTAACCCACAGAGTGAATCAATTTCTGATGAGCGAATGACAATTAGACCATTATCATTAACATGATGGTGCCAGCTCACGTTGGCATCAATTTTGAGTCAGGAAAAGGGTCAAGCCTTACTCTTCCTAGCACGGCCTGTACTGATTTACAAACACAAAGCCTTTGAAGGGGGCATTAGGGCTGGTACAGTGGAGCTTCTGTTGGTTGGCACCAACCAAGGGAGGTCTGGATGTGTGTGCGTGTCTGTGTGGAGGAAGCATTCTAAATTACGCTGTTTCCCGCTCTCTGTTAACATCAGCTGGCTAACCATTGCGTCACTGTAACGTGAGCTTTCCCTTTCTGTTTACCCTGTTTATTTCTCTCTCTCACTCTCTCTCACCATCCTCCCTCCACCAGCTCACCTCTACAAGTGCACTGCCCTCAGGGAGAGTTGTGGCTTGTGTCTGAAAGCCGACCCAAAGTTCGAGTGCGGCTGGTGTGTCCCGGAGAAGAGGTGCATGCTCCAGCAGGATTGCCAGGCTCCAGCGAGAAACTGGATGCACCAGAGCAGGATCAACAGCCGATGCACTGACCCCAAAATCACCAAGGTACGCCAAATCAACAATGTCAGTTTTTAACAAAGAATTCACTTTCCAGATATGAGCGTCACTTTATTAGCCTCCTTAACAGCCTTGAGCAGGTGGTGTTGGGTATTTAAGGACATGGTTCAGAGTCAGCCACATTGCTGTGGGTCTGGAGTCACATGTAGGCCAGATCCAAGCAAGCATGGCAGATTTCCTTCCCTAAAGGACGTTAATGAACCACATAGGGTTTTTAATAACAATCTGGTAGGTTCATGATCATTATTACTGAGGTTATTATTTTTATTCCAGATGGCAGTAAGTTAATTGAACTTAAATTCCCACCTTGGAGATAGTAGGAATTGCAAATGCTGGAGTCTGAGATAACACAGCACGGAGCCAGAGGAACACAGCAGGCCAATTGATGTTTTGGTCAGGTCCCAACCTGAAACATCGACTCTCCTGCTCCTCTGATGCTTCCTAACCTGCTGTGCTCCTCCAGCTCCACACTGTGATGTCTTAAATTCCTAGCTACCTGGTGGTATTTGAACTTGTGACTCTGTAGTATTGATACAGGCTTCTGGATTCCTAGTCTAGTGTGTTACCCTGTAGTGATGGTCACCTGTCTCTCTGCTCTGTGCGATACCTTCAACTCCAACACCAAAGGCACTGAGTGAAATAACTCGAAGGAAGGTCCCATTCTGTAAGGAATCCATGTCGAAGGGGATTGCATGTGATAGGTAATGAGCACTTCACTGAAGTAAGTGTTCATATGTCAATAAGCCAGGGGATCTGCAAAGTTAACGTGATAAAGTGGATAATGCAATGCAGCTTAGATTCCAGCTATTGCCTTGCTCCTGATACTGTCCCACCTGCTTATGGCCATTCCAAAATCAGAAAATAGTCATAAAAATTCAGTGCTTGGTATTTGAAAGCAATTAAAATTCTCAGTGAAATCTGATGGCTTCTGTGACTGTGTTTTAAATCAACATGAGACAATAATTTGCATTTATATGTAGCCTTTTACTTTTCTTATTTATGACTTCAGTCATTTATTTAGGCACCGTGGTTTGGCAACTAATAAAATTTTTCACTAATTTTTTATAAAAATACATGTGAAGATAAATTGCAAATATATTCTATTCTATTCTTCTAAAGTCTCAATGCAAATTGCCATGTTTATCTCCTCTCAAACCATGATGGTGTTTGTTCCCAATAGCTGATGATATGGATAATAATGGAAAAGACATTTTTTTACTTTTTACACAATGTTAGGTTGGTAACAATAGGTATGGAGCTCTCAGAGAAGCATAGTGTTAGAATGACAGCTGGGCTCTCTCTCTCTCTCTCTCTGTCTCCCATCACGCTCTCTCTCTCTGTCTCTCTCACACACACCCCTCTGTCTTTGTCTCTCTCCCACTACCCACTCTCCACCTCTTTCCACCCTCTCCCTCCCCCTCTTTCATCTTTCTCTATCCCCCTTTTACCTCTCTTTATCTCTCCCTCCCTCTCCCTCGCTGTCTCTCACCTATCCTCTCAACTTTCGCTCTCTTAGCACCCACCCTCTTTCTCTCACACCCCACACCCTCTCCCCCACCCCCCCAATCTCCACTCCTGTCCACCCTCTTTCTTTCCCCCTCTCTCGCCTCTCTTTGTCACCCTCTTAGCTCTCCTTATCTCCCCAACCTCTCCCTCCCTTACACCATCTCTCCCCCTTCCCCACTCCCTCTACCACCTCTCTTGTTTCCATCCTTTCTCTCTGTCTTTCTCCCTCTCATCTCACTCTTTCCTTCCCTTCCTTCCCCAAGCCCCTTTTCCATCCCTCTCTCTCCCCCTTCTCTCTCTCACACCTGCCCACCCCCCACCTCTCCTCCCACCTCTCCTCCCACTTCCCTACATCTTACACCCATTGTCTCTTTCTCTCTTACTCTCTCTTTCTCTCACTAGCTTTTGGCCCCTTTCTTTTTACCACTCCCCCTCTCTGTCTTTCCCTCTCTCTCTCTCTCTGTCTCTCTCTTTCTCTTTCTCTCTCTCTCTCTGTCTCTCTCGGTCTATGGCCCTTATCAGAGAATTCAGCAGAGGAGGAGAAAGTCATTTGCTCCATTAAGTCTGCACCACCCTTTTCAAACGACAATGCAGTAAGTCCCACTCCTGGCATTTCCTCCAGATCTGCAGTTGTTCCTCTTCGAGTATTTATCTAATTCGCTTTGAACAGCAGTGGACTCCAAATCCAAGCAACTTCAGAAAGAACATCAAATAATTTTTCCTCAAGGTGCCTTCTCACCTCTAGCCAGTCAGCTTCAATCTGGATAAAAACTGAAAGAACTGCGGATGCTGTTTTTTTCCCTTTATTCATTTACAGGATGAGGGTGTCACTGACTACGCAGCATTTATTGCCCATCCCTAATTGCCCAGAGGGCAGTTCAGAGTCAACCACATTGCTGTGGGTCTGGAGTTACATGTAGATGAGACTGGGTAAGGATGGCAGTTTCCTTCCCTAAAGGGCATTAGTGAACTAGATGGGGTTTTCCAACAATGGATTCATGGTCATCACTAGATTCTTAATTCCAGATATTTTATTGAATTTAAATTCCACCATCCGCCATGGCGGGATTTTAACCCAGGTGCCCAGAACATTATCTGAGTCTCTAGGTTAACAGTCCAGCGATAATACCAGCAGGCCATTGCCTCCCCTAAAGGAGGCCTTGTAAATCAGGAACAAAAACAGAAGTTGCTGGAAAAGCTCAGCAGGTCTGGCAACACCTGTGAAGAAAAATATCGGAGTTAACGTTTCAGAACAGCTCTGAGGAAGGGTCACCGGACCCGAAACGTTAACTCTGATTTCTCTTCACAGATGCTGCCAGACCTGCTGAGCTTTTCCAGCAACTTCTGTTTTTATTCCAGCTTCAATCTGGCCTGTCTTGTGACTGCACCTTCAATCAATTTCTTCAACACAACACTCCAGCTTCCTTGACAAATGTGTTTATAAGGAACCAGCTGATTGGTGCTAAACCTGCTGGTTGGTGTAAACTCAGCAGATCAGGCTGACCACAGGCAGTGCCTGGTTTCTGGAACGATGAGGCTGGATTGTAGTCTTCAGGATTCAGGTGGGAAGGGCAGCGTCGATGTCAAGGCCGGGAAACGGTGGAAAGGCTTTTCGCTTTTGCTCAGGTAAATCTCTTCATGGGTTCGGAGACATGACTGCACAGACTCAAGGGAAATCACGCTCCCTCATTGGCCCAGACCCTCACTCCATTTAGCTTCACTGTTAACCACCACCACATCTCCCCCCACCATCCCAGTCCTTAACCACTCACCTGCCTCACATTCTCGATCCTCTCACTCCTACCCCTTTTACTCCTACCCCCTCACTCCTACCCCTTTTACTCCTACCCACTCACTCCTACCTTCCTCACTCCTACCTTCCTCACTCCTATCTCCCTTACTCCTACTCCCCGTATTCCTACCCCACTCACTCCTACCCCTCTCACTCCAACCCTCTCACTCCTACCCCCTTCACTCCTACTCCTACTTCCCTTACTCCTACTCCTCTCACTCCTACCCCCCTCACTCCTGCCCTCTCACTCTTACCCCCTCACTCCTACCCCTCTTACTCCAAGCTCCCTCATTCCTACCTCCGTCACTCCAACCCTCTCACTCTTACCCCCAACTCCTAACCCCCTCTTATCCCTGTCCCCTCGCCCTCAATACCACCCCTTCATCCCCACCCTGCCCTTACACCCCCTCACACTTTCACACCTTCGCCACCCCACCCCTACAACCCTAACCCCTGCTCACACGCTCACTGACTACCACATTCCACACTGCACCCCACACAGCAGGTTCCTGTTTACACCACTCCACACACCAAGCCCTAGGGGAGGCGATGGCCGATTGGTGTTATTGCTGGGCTGTTAAATGCAGTAACCTGGCTAATATTCTGAGGACATGGGTTCAAATCCCAACAAGGCAGATGATGGAGTTTGAATTCAATAAAAACCTGGAATTAAGAGTCTCATAATGACCATGAGTAGATTGTCAATTGTTGGGGAAAATCCCATCTGGTTCATTAATGTCCTTTAGGGAAGGAAACTGCCATCCTTACCTGGTCTGGCCCACATGTGACTCCAGACCCACAGCAATGTGGCTGACTCTGAACTGCCCTCTGGGTGAGTAGGGATGGGTGATAAATGCTGCCTGGCCAGCGATGCCCTCATCCTGTGAGTGAATTAAAAATAAAGTACCCCCAGCCTCTCACTGTTCTCTTGTATCAGATTCTTGAAGGAAGGGATGCGTTTTCTGACGATATTCTCATGATGCTATTTGGACTGATATCACAGCATCAAATGGAGCACATGTGCCAAATATTTCACTCAGGAAGAAAAGAACTTTCGTTTCTCTGGCACCTCTTCTCTTTTCAGAATGTTGCAAGGTTCCATGCAGTTAAATCCTTCCCTTTTCTAAAGACATAGAAACTCGGAGCAGGAGTGGGCCATTCGGCCCTTCGAGCCTGCTCCACTGTTCCATATGATCGTGGCTGATCATCCAACTCAGTCCCCCATTCCTGCTTTCTTCCCCATATCCTTGATCCCTTTAGCCCTAAGTGCTGTATCCACCTCCTCCTTGGAACTATACAATGATTTTGCCTCAACCGCTTTCTATAGCAGAGAATTCCACAGGCTCCCCACTGTCTGGGTGAAAAAATTTCTCCTTTTCAGAGTCCTAACTGGCACAGCCCGCATCCTTAGACTGTGACCCCTGGTTCTGGACTCCTTCTGTCGTCAGGAACATCCTTCCTGCATTTGCCCTGCATGGTTCTGTTGGAATTTTATAGATCTCTATGAGATTCCAACCCCCCCCGCCCCCTAGTCCTTGTGAACTCCAGGGAAAATAATCCTAACTGATCCAGTCTCTCTTCATCCTGCCATCCCAGGAATCATCTGGTAAACCCATGTTGCACTCCCTCCATCACCAGAACACCCTTCCTCAGATCAGGAAACTAAAACAGCACATAATACTCCAGGTGT